CCGGGCTCGGTGGCTCAGCCTGTAATCCCAGCACTTTGGGAGGCTGAGGCAAGTGGATTGCCTGAGCCCATGGGTTCAAGACCCGCCTGGGCAACTTGGTGAGACCTTGTCTCTACAATAAATAAAAAAGTAGACGGGTGTGGTAGCATGCGCCTGTAGTTCCGGCTAGTAGGAAGGCTGACACAGAAGGACTGCTGGAGCCCAGCAGGTTGAGGCTGCAGTGGCCAGGAGCAGCCACTGCACTCCAGTCTGGGTGACAGAGTGAGACTCTAGCTCAAAAAGAAAAAGAAAAAGAAAAAAGAAATACCAAATAACCATCACTGTGTCAAGAAATAGAGCAAGACCAGCACTCCATAAGTTTACACCACCCTCCCCATCTGGCCCTGCCAACCTCCTTTCCTTCTGATTTTTAACAGATAGATTGGTTTGATCAGATTTTTAATTTTGTATAGATGAAATAATATAGCCTGTATTCTTTTTTGTCTGACTTCTGTTTATCATGTTCTGCAATTTATCCTTTTGGTGGGTGTAATAGCACCATTTATTATCCATTCTACCATTAATAAACACTCAGGGCTACAATGGATAATGCCACTATGAATACACTTGGATGTAATGTTTTTATGCACAGATGTGTGCTTTTTAATGTATTTGCTAGTAGTGGAATTGCTGAATTATAAGACACATGTTTTCAGCTGTAGTGAATACTGCCAAGAAGGTCCAAAGTGGTTTTAACTTAAAATTTATTTTTATGATTAAAGTGACTGAACACTAATACTATGATATACAACATGTTGGCTTTTGCAAAGTTTTTTTTTATTTAAGAAACCTGCTCATTTTGGGGGGATGTTTTCTGTCTTTGGCTTACAGAGATAGAGGAGTCTTTACAAACTTCGGATATGAGTCTTTGTAGATGATATGTATTGCAAATATTTTTTTCCACAATATGTTTTGACTTTTTATTCAGTAATGGCATCTTTTGATGACCCAAAGTTCTATTTTAATATTGTACCATTTATATATCTTTTTTGTATGGTTTATGCTTTTTGATTTCAGTTTTAGACATCTTATTCTACCCAAAACATAGCGGTCCCCTCTTGTGTTTCTATTTGTATGTACCACTTAGCTCCACAATTCACCTGACATCTGTTTTGTGTGGTGCGAGACTGAAGTCATGATCAGTTTTTTTTTTCCATTTGGATATACAATGAACCCACTGTATTGAAAAGATCACCCTTCTTCGCAATGCTGCCGTGTTACATCTGTCATAAATCAACTTCTGTGAGGTGAGAGCGCTAGGGGAAGGGAGAGAGAGAGTGAGAGAAAGAGAGAGAGAGAGAGAGAGTCAGCATCAATGAAAGAGTTTTCACGGACAGACATTGAAGATACAAACACGGGAGGAAGCAAAGTCATCATAAACAAACACAGGGATAGTCTGCAGGGCTGAGGGAGGTGAGTCTTCAGGTTGGAAGGTCTCCCATGTTCCGAGCAGTGTGCACAAAGAAAGACCTAGACCTAGACCCAAATTAAACTTGGAATCACCACAGATAACAAGTTGACAAAATATTTTCGAGAGGGGAAATCCAGGTCAACCAGGAAGGAATGAGGATTTGAACAGCGTGGGGCTTCTCACCACCAAGAATGGCCTGGAAAGCAGGAGGGCAGGGCCTTGCAAGTGTAGAGGGAAAACCAGCTTCGCCTGAAGTCATGTATGGGGCTAAATGAGGAGTCCAGGACAAGGGCCTTGTGAGGACCCAGTGGCTACTCCTGGTGAGCTTTCTCTTTAAGAAGTTACTTGAGAACGAACCCCAGTGTACTGGGTTGCAAAGGAAGAAGCAGAGGTAGGGCGGAAAAAAGAGAGGAGCAAAAAGAAGGGAGGGAGGACGAGAAGGAGGGAGGCAGGGAGGGGAGAAGGGAAGGGAGAAAAGGAAGGAAGGAAGAAGGGAGGGGGGAAGAAAGAAAGAAAGAGGAAAGACAGTGAATGAAGGAGAGAGGGAGGGAGGGAAGGACGGAGGGAGGGAAGGAGGAGGGAAACAGGCAGAGGAGGGGGCAGGGAAGGAGGTGGGGCGGGGCAGAGAGGGAGGGAGGACGGAGAGGGCGAGGGGAGGCAGGCGGCCATGTGCAGCCCAGAAACCCGCCATCAAGCTGGAGTGCAAACCTGTGACCGCGAGCCTGTGAGCCCAAGAGTGGGCCTGGATTCCAGCACAGGCAGGACGACGGCAGGGTCCGACGGTGTTAGGGACATGCTGAGGACTGGAGGCATCCCGCCTCTCCACAAGGAAAAAGGATGGGCGGGAACTCTAGGGGGGACACTCTTGAAGGACTTGGGGACCTGACACATGACTTAGACTGGGGTGAGTGAAGCGGTGCCTCCCTCGTCTGACCTTTGTGCCGAGAACTCAATCCTTTGTGGGTCACAAGTCGTGAGGTTGACCCCTGGAGGGAGCAATGTGGCCATAGTGAAGTGAACAGTTCTTCCACACAGTAATATAAGTATTATTTGTTGATTTTTCACTTATAGGCCAAATGAAGCAGGGGGGACAGACGTGCTGTGGTATAAGACAGAGCGTAAGTGTTTCAGCTCCGAAAATAGGAAACCTGGCGAGCAGAGGCAGTGAGGGTGTAGACTGGGTGAGGTCACAGAGGGGACACCGGAGATGGCATGTGTGGTGGGACCAGAGAGTGTCTTTAGGGCATCATTGACTCATAAAAACCAACAGGGACCAAACACGGGGACGCTCTATGGACCGTGAAGCAAAGAGGAGGGGCTGTGTGAGCCCACATCTCATCTGTCACAGAGAAAGTCAACAGAGAGACTTTCTAAAACTGGTCACTTAGGACACGGTTACAAGGAAGTTATTTTAAGAGTGGAACCAAACACCAGAAGAACTGAAGTGCCGGTGATTAAAAATGCTTGCCTCCAGGGAGAGACCATTTTATTTTTTTATGATGTAAATGTATGACTTTGATCAAATAAGCAGCATATTAGAAGATACATCATGTCAAATGGGATTATTTCCAGAAATGCAAATGTAATTCACTGTTATAAAATCTATTAAACAAAATCACTACTGTAACAGGTTTTTGAGAAAAATAATCATCATCTCCAATAGGTGCAGAAAATTCAGTAAAATTCAACAATTCATGATTTAAAACTAGGAAATAACATCTCAATTTGTAAAAGTTACAGGTGGGAAAGAAAAGGACTGCACTTATCATCAATATTCAAATGTTAAAACGATTCCCTTTGAAATCAGGAGTAAGAAAATGCAATCCCCACTTTGACAAACTGACATCAAAATTTATACAGAAGAGCAAAAGGCAACAAAGACCAAAACGAAGTAAAACAAATGAGAGAGAGCCCACATGTCCATCAACAGAAGAATAGAGAATCTGTGGTACGCTCGTGTAATGGGATACTCTATAGCAATGAAAACAATCAGCGAATTGTAGCTGCATGTGTCAGCCTGGCTGAAATGTCAAAGCATAGTGTTTAATGATACAGGAAAATTAGACACACATGCATATGACTCTCCTCCTATAAAGTTCCAGAAAGATAAGGTCACCCACATATTAGTTCTTGCGTGATACGTAATGTGTTTAAAGAGTGAAGGTCAGCCATGGGGTTAGCAACACAACATTTTGGGGAGTAGTCATTTCTGGGAGACAGGTGCGGGCAGACAGTGAAATGGGAGTAGAGAGAGGCTCACATGGTACCCAAGGGTGCTGGGAATGTTCTGCTTTCCAGGCGTGGACCTCTCCAGAGACAACCAGGAATCCAATCAAGCATTAGGAGCATTGTGTTTACAAGAAGGATGCAAAGGTGGTGTGGAGTAGGATGGTGTCATACTCTGTGTCACCCTGAGCCTGCTGGTTAAATCCTTTATGCTTCAAGAATGACTCATGGCCACCCATATCACACTGATGGTAATGAAGGGAAAAGCGAGACTCAGAAAATCAGAAACCCTGAGAGACCCGAGGCCAGAGAGGTCAAGCTCACAGCCGATGAGTGCACTCCCAGACCGGAGCGGAGCCTGTGTTTTCTCCCCTGGAGATTTAAGTCACTCGCTTGAAATATCATAAGGCGAATAGGCTTCTGTTTATTTTTTAAAGTTTCCTGTCTGTACTATTTTAAACAACACTGCCACTAACATCTTGGTGCAAGACCCTGGGCTACCAAGCACTCCCGAGGGATGTGAAATGGCATTCCATGTTCATTGAATGTCTCTGGTTTTTCGTGATGCTAAGGATGCTGGCCATTGGGGTTTACTGTACTGTGAATTGCCTGTTGACACTGGATAGCTTGACTTTTCTTATTGATTGGTGCAAGGTGTTATTGCTCATTAGAAAAACATAACTTCGGTGTATTCTAGATACCGTTTCTCAGTCTATGCTTCGTCTTTTAGCTTGGGGTTTGGTGTCTTTGTGATTAAAAGGTTATGATGAAATATAGTCGCATGGGTCAGTTTTTTATTAGTGAGTTGTGCTTTTTTCTGTGTGTCATTGTTTCCAAGGGAAGTCTGTATAACACTGTATTCCCGAAACATGGTTTGTCTTTCAGATAACTACCAAGTTGCTTTCCAGACTTACTATCCGAGCTTGCACCAAAGCGAGGACGTGTGTGATGGCACCAATGCCGGAGGGAAGACGCAGAGCAGAGCGGATGTGACGTGGGTCCTTCTGCTGCGCTACCACCTCCACCTGCAGAGGACCAACAGCCTGGGCAAGCTGCTGGGTAGGCGCCCGCTGGGCCCGTCCCCACCTGCTCCTGCTGGAGCTGCGTTTCCCACCTCTGATTGGGAGACACTTTCGGTGCCTTCCAAGCAAACTGTCCCTTGGAAGATGGCAATTTCATGGGTTCTTATCCTGGGGGACGTGGGTCTTTGGATGGAACAGGAGTTCAGTGTAATTAACTTTCTAAGAAATTCTGTATATTTAATTTTGTATCTGCTGAGGAGGCATCCATTGGCTGGTCAAGACTGCCAGAGCAGCCTGTGGCTCAAAGAGGTTAGACAGCTTGTAACACGAACATGATGGCATTGTGGCTTTAGGGAGAGCGTTCCCTGAAGTATCCAGCATGGGAAAGAGAATTCATGCCTGCCTTCAGATGGGATCTTTAGCTCTGCAGAGTTGTTTTGTTTTTGTTGCTGGGACCACCTAAAGAAGCTCCAAAAAACTGGTACAGCCTGTGTCACGCCAGTCCTTCCTGTGGTTGCGTGACAACGCGTGCTGTGTTTTACCTGTGCCCATGGCACTGGGAACCCGGGGTTGCTCAGCAGTGCACTGTCATGTGCAGGGCCCAGTGATAGGGAAGCCAGCAGGGCAGGTAGCAGGCGGGGTCACGGAGGGCCAGGTGGTTCTCGGAGCCAGTGATGGATGAGCCAGCCCTCAAGAGGGTCACCGTGGAGGGGCCAGAATGAGGTAGCTGAGGGGGAGGGACAGGGACGTGGGCCCCGAGGCCACCTATCCACCTGTGAGTCACCTGTTGCCACCACCCATGCCAGGCACCATGTGTTGCTCCTCTTCCACCCTGGGTTTTTTGGAAGCTCCAGCCAGGTGGGATGCCCTGGCGGTCCCGAGATCCCACACATTGGTGACCCTCCTGATGAGGTGGTGTTATGACCGAGTAAGCGAGAAGAAGAAGTCACGCCACCAAGCTGAGTCTAATGAACCATGAGTTCTTTATTAACACGCGGGTCAAGAGCAGGCAAATACCAGAAAAACTCTTGACAAACTAGTGTAGTTTGTGGCAAGCTTCTATAGATAAAATGTGCAGTATTTGCTACATAGCAACTTAGTGACCATAGCAACTATTAACTAACAACTTGACAACCAAAATGGGAACTTTGATTGTTAGGGAGTTTTGATTAATTTTGTGCCCCAGGTATAGCCAGTGCCTGGAAAGACCCTGGAGTTCTGCCAATAAGATATAGTTTCAGGCAGTTACATAGAGACAAGGTAGAAGAGTTATTACACGAGGGAGTTACCTCGGTTAGGTTACTAACAGAATATAAGAACAAAATATGACAACGTAACAATGAGGTTTTGCAAAGCATAGTACTTGATTTCAGTTAACAAAGCATACAATTACATGGAACGGATGGCTAAGGAGTTTTAGAGCCATCAGCAGGAAACAGTCAGCACAGCCTGCCCAGAGTGTGCAAAGCTGGGCGTCTGTAGTCATGGACATGTTACTGTAATCACACCTAGGCATTGAGCAGTGGTTCCTAGGTCAGGCAGGCAACTAAGACAGAAGCTTTAAGCAAGGTGGAGTAAGTTGATCGATACTATTATTTGCTAGCGATTGGATGTTATGGACTGACTGAGCTCACGTCAGAGGGCGCGCCGCTCAGGCTCGTGTCGGGCCTGTCCCGCTGGCTGGGCCCTCCTCGCTCACGCTGCAGCCTGTCCGTGCACTCGCCCCTGGGACCCCCCTCTTTTCCAAACACTTGACTCGGCCCTCACTCGGCTCCTGGAGGCCCCTTTCCGAGGCATGACCTGCGCCCAAACGCTCACCGGAGGGTCTGTGTGCAGAAGCCAAGGAGGGCAGGTCGACGGATGATACGGCCCTTCATGCCTTTAACGCTGCGCGGCGTGGGGGGCCTCTGAGGCCTCCTGTCCCTGCTGGCACGAAGCAGTTCCGTGAGTGGACAGGCTCCGAGGTGGAGGAGAGCCGCGGGCCGCGGTGGGCGGGGACGCAGGGTGGCGAGAGTGAGCAGGTGGCGGCCCCCTGCAGGCCACCGGTCTCCAGAACGACCCGCACCCAGGTCTCTTTTCTCCTTCAGCTTCTGCCACGCCGGTGTCTGGACTCTCTCTGCCGGATGACACAATCCTCACATCCCTCTTCAACGCAGAACTGATTTTGCGCCAGAAAGAAGTGCATTTTTTCCTCAAGAAATTCTTGCAGCTGTATTCCTCTTCCTGTATTGAGGCGTTTCCAAAGGAGCTTCTGCAAGGGCTGGAAAACCTGCCTCTTTCAGAAAAAGACTCGTGTGAGTCGTCAGTCCAGGTAATGTCTCTAAAACGCGATGTATTTACGCGAAGCCTCCTAGACCCACCTGCATTTCCAAGGAGGCATGTTGACTTCCATGCTGGCACAGGTTTCCGACTCCGTGGATTCCGGGGAAGGTGGCGCTGTGTTGCCAGGGGGAAGGGTGACCAGCTCCTGGGTGTCCAGGACAGTTCACCTTCCAAAAGTCCTGTCTTGTTCTCATACATCTCAGAATCTCAGACTTTTCTATGTTTCTGCCCAGAAACATCTCTTGGGCAGCCATTTTGCCTAGAAGCGACACAGATTTTACTATCATTACCTGGTCAGAAAATAAGGTTGAGGGGTTCTAAATCTGTGCTCAATTCTGTACATTTGTTTTAAATACATAATAAAAATCATTCATTGTGTATACTTTTGGGAATTGTGAGTATGAGGAAATAATAGAGGTACATTTTCCAAATAAATTAAAAGTTAGAAGACATTTCTATCTGGGAAAGTGTTATTAAATGTGATAGGCTTTCCCAAATGGGTAATATGGAATCTTTTTAACGGCATCTATTGTAGAGACATGAAAAGGGGAGTATGCATGAGTCTCTTTAAACCGTAAAGCTACTAAGTTCTTGAGTGATCACAATGTTTGAAGAAACCACCAAAATCGATAAGTTGGGAGGTACTGAAAAAGCAAAGGACTTTATTAAAAGGTGGGAATACGGATTTGAAATATGGTGTCCAACAAACGTATGCTGAATACCTACACGATGCCAGAGATACTCCGAGCTGATGGAGAGAGGACGCAGCCGCACGGTCCCTGGGCACAGTCTTGGTGTGGGGCTACAACATGTCAGAGCTGCCATCTCAGAGACAACAGCAGGGCTGATCACGGTGTAAGTGGGCGCACATCAAGATATATGAGATTTGCTGTCAGTCCTGTCAGTAGGGCTGACCGGCAAAGGACAGATGAGAGTCATCTGAGAGAACATCTGGAAGCAGCGAACCTGGTGCCACAGGGCGGGAAGCAAGGATGGCTGTGGAAGCTGTTGCAAAAGGAACAACAATGACAACACAACTCGATGACCCTTTGGAGACAGCGAGTGGAGGAGAAAAGGCGACCAGAGTCTCTCCCGCTACTTGGAGCCCCCGTCTTGACCCTGAGCTGATGAGGCACCACTCGCGGGCATGGGGGGTGGCGAGCTGTGGGGGAGGCGGGTGCGAGCTGCCCTGTGGCTACAGAGCCGGAGGCTGGTAGGGCACACCGTGGATGGGGCACATCAGAAGCGCCCAGAACCTGCTCCGGAGATGAATGAATCGGTTCATGTGCCCAGAACTCCTCAAAACGAGGAAAATCCTCTCATTCATTTTGAAGCACCTCTGCTTGGATTCACCACCAGCGATTTAACTTTCATGGTTAGCCCGGTGTGGTGCCTCATGCCTGTCATCCCAGCACGTTGGGAGGCGGAGGCGAGAGGATTGCCTGAGCCCAGGGTTTTGAGACCAGCCTGGGCAGCTTGGCGAGACCTCATCTCTACAATAAATAAATTAAAAATTAGCCGGGCGTGGTGGCACGCACTTGTGGTTCCAGCTACTTGGAAGGTTGAGGTGCAAGGATGGCCTGAGCCCAGCAGGTCGAGGCTGCAGTGGCTGTGAGCATGCCACTGCACTCCAGCCTGGGCAACAGAGTGAGACTCCAGCTCAAAAACAACAACAAAAAACGTTCATGGTTATAGACTCCCTGCACCAGGCATGTCCGTGCTTCTGGTGCCAAGTCTCCAGGAAGACATGGCGTGTTGCAAAGGACGCCCTTGCTCACCGTGTCCCACTGGAATCCAGCAAGCTCAGGCTTTGGGTAGAGAATCACTTTCTAGAAGCCACTCTTCTGAGCACTCCTGCCCTGCTCAAGAGAGTCAGGTGACTGCCAGTAAACTGTGAGTTTTAAGAAGTAGTGGAAAGGCCCTTTAAAGCCATTTTTAAGAAAAATTCAGCGAAAGAAATGATTCTGGATGGGGCTGTGGCGTGGTCCCAGGGCCGTGGACTGTGAGCATAACGAGCAGGTTTTCAGATGATGCCTCTCCCTTCCCAGGCCCGGGGGCATTGTGGCAGGACAGATCTCAGCTCCCCCATTTCCTGCCCAGATTCCAAATCGTTTGAGAAGTAAGGGTAATGAGCAAGACAGGCTGGGGTTAAAGAATACCTACCTCTGTGGGCCATAAAGCTGGTTTCGTGGGTTGTGGTTTCTGTCTACCGGTAGCTGGTCTTCCTAGGAACGAACACCAAGGTAGACAGAGTCATAATCCAGCCTCTCCGTGGGGACAGTGCCGTCCCTTGAAATCTGTCGCACGAAGAAGCAGAGAATTTCATTTCCTGCAAGCAGCTCACTTTCAGGAAGACAGAGCCGAGCAACGCATGTCCCAAACCCTTCTTCCCGCTTCACAAACCCAGTAACACATCCCAGGTGGGGGAGCAGGTGGGGAGGCCAGCTGGTGGGGAATAGGAAAGTGCCCGGCCCTCCACATGGAGGGTGAGCACAGGAGAGAGAACTGGCATCGTTCCCCTTGACACGGCCTTCTGATCCACCCCTCCTGGGGATGGTGCCTCTGAGAACGGCCACCAGGTGTGCCAGACGCGTCCGTGGGGTCGGGACAGGGAAGGCCGAGAACCATAGTTTTAATGGCTCTGTTCTTGTGCATATCACATCAGAATTTGGAAACTACTTGGTATGATTTCTGAAGCTCTGTTCTGCAGGGAGCGCTGCCTGAGTGTGTCCATGTCCTGGTGGCCTGTGGTTGCCCAGCTCCCGTGATGCACTCCAGGTCCAGCCGCGGCTATGTTACCAGCACACCTGACATCTCTCTGGCAGGAGATTCTCGGAATCTCCTCACCCTGTCTGCTGTCTCGGATGTGATTAGCGCAACACTCTCCCAGGATTCTCAGCTCTGAGATCCCGGCCCAGCCTGACAGGCACAGGCCTCCCGTCATGCGTCCGTTTCCCTGGGCGAGAGGCTAACAAGCACAGAGAGTGTTTTCAAGAGAAACTCTGGGCTTGGCTGATTTTTGTAATGACACTTTGGACCTGTAGTCACCGAGGAGGCCACTGCCGTCCAACTCTTGCCATGGTTTGATCCTTAAACCTACTTTGCCCCACAAAGAAGCAGACACCTTTCCAGAACCTGCATTGCTCCACACGTCGCGCTCACTGCGTTCGATTCTGCGTGTCATCAGCTCTACTGGAGCTTTGTGATGGGAAAGAAAATCGCATTGAAAATTTCCCCAATCGGATATGGTTAAAACCACGGGCAGGCCTTGTGCAGTGGCTTATGCCTGTAATCCCAGCATTGTGGGGGGCCGAGGCAAGAGTACTGCCTGAGCCCAGGGGCTCGAGACCAGCCTGGGTAACTTGGCAAGGCCTCGTCTCTACAATACATTTAAAAAATTAGCCAGGCATGGTGGCACACTCCTGTGGTTCCAGCTACTTGGAAGGCTGAGGTGGAAGGATCGCTTGCTTGAGCCCAGCAGGTCAAGGCTGCGGTGTCTGTGAACGTGCCACTGCGCTCCAGCCTGGGCAGCAGAGTGAGATTCTGACTCAGAAAGCAAAAGAAAACAAACGCAGCTGTGGGCAGCGCTGGGGTGGTCCTGCTGGGTGGTGCCTGCCCTGTCTGCGAGGTCGTGTCTGCCCAGGGTGAGCTCCCTTGTTTTTAGGACTGAGCCTCCTGGTGGTCCTGCTGTTTTATTTCTTTCAAAGAATAAATAAAATAAAATAAAATAAAAATACTCAGTGAGCAGTTCATCAATTAGCATATGCAGTGAATCCCATTAGCAGCTAGGTATGACAGTATTTTAAAGATGGTGGAAAATTAAAGGCCTATATTGACACCAACTTCTGTTAGGATTTATCGTTATCAGACCATTATGCTAACAAGCAATGATCATATTGAAATGAAAGGTGTTTGATCTTCATTTTCAATATTTGTCTAGTTACTAAATATGAATTATTTGCCAAAATACTGTCAGAGCCTCTGAGAGTCACTCAAGTATGAGGAAATCCGTGACACTATTTTTTGAGGGAATTATTTACGCGATGTTTCTGATGGACTGCCTGACATGCAGCGACCCGTAATTGAGCACTTTCAAATGGTTCTTTGCCCCAGTGTCCTGCTCATTGTGTGTTGTGTTCCCACCTTCAGAAGTGAGGTGTCTGGCTTATAATATTCTTTCACGATCATCTCTAGGCATTTTTGAAAACTTTTCACATTTAAGAGGACCTGTCAGTCAAAGTGTTTTTTTCGCCTTTATCAGTAGACAACTGGAAAGGTCAGTGTTTGTATTTCGTTTTTTACTTCATTCTGCAGACGTGCATTCACAGCCTCATATCTGAATGGTCTCAGAGATAATGGGTCAGACAAAGCCTTATGGAAATTCCAGGCGTTTCTTTCTGGCTGTGGCATGTTCTTGGCCACCAAATCTCGAGAGGCCCTAGATATCAGAAGGAATTGATAGAGGACTGCTTCCCAGCGACCAGCAATTCCCTTGGGCCTGACGAGAAGTTAATTTTGAAAGTAGCTTGGGCTTCATGAAGAAAAGTCCTTTCAGATTTGGGATCTTGTTTTCATGGTTATTATCGCTGTGGCTAGCCTGTTTTTGTTGGTAATTAGCGACCATGCTTTGTTTTTTTAGTGCCCTTAAACAACTAGTTAAATGATATCCCATACATTTATCTTCCTGCAGACTCCTGACACAGCGGCCGGGTTTCATAAAAGACGCTGGGCTCAGGTTCACCAAGGACTGAACTTGGATGTATCAGTCACATTCATATAAGGAGGGAATGACTAACCTTCAGAGCAAATAGATTGCAGAGCAATGGGCTTTTGCCTTTGGAGCAAAAACTGTGTCTTATTTTGCATATGGCACTGCAAAAAAATGCTTTTGGAAAACAGATAATCAATTATAACCACGCTGTCAGTATCTTCTCCAGGGAGTAAACTAGAAACAACACTGGCATTCTTAGAAGCAGTGGTAACCTCGAGCCAGGGCAGCTGCCCGGGCCTCGTCCCCGCCTGTGTCTCACCTGGAGACCCGCAGAGCCGACACATTCGTCAGTCCACGGGCTGAAGCTGAGTTTTACTGTGGGAGAATTCTCTGTGGCAACCCAGGGACAGTTTTAAGCTCTGCCTCCATAAGCAAACAGAGACAACTCCCAGAGTTTTCCAGTGTAGCCAACTGACTTGCTTTGTAGGTTGCATGGATTCACCACCAGCCACTGAACGGCTGTTGTGTTTGTTCCCTAGTTTTGTCGCGACAGCTTGTCCTACTCCAGCTCGTCTTGTAAGCTCACTTCCAGCCCATCTAACGTGGATGTGTCGTCAGAAATGGCAACACAAGCGTCCAACAGCGAGCTCTGTTTTCAGTGGTACATTCCTCCCCTGGACAGGCCTCCGAAGGAGACAGAACCTCTGGTATGTACCATACGGATGAGGGGACCCAAAACAACTCGGGGCGTGTTTATCAAAAGCTGTGTCTTTATCCTTAACGTGTCAAAACCTCAGCCGCCTTCAAAGCTCCCTCCGTCTGATGCAATCCACCTACAGAGATGCTTTTCCTGCGGCTCAGAGCGGTCTTTGAGTGCGTTCATTTTGATGCCTTTTGGTGCTTCTGCCATTTTGGTTTCATGCATTTCACATCAGCAAAACGTTTCCTTTTGAGGACTCTTTTCATCTGGGGCGACCAAAAAGTCACCCCGGACTCCGGGCAAGATCGGGTGAAGAGGGAGGGTGGGCACAGGGGTCCCGCCCTTTTGGGTCCAAAACTGCTGAGCGCTCAGCATGGTGTGGGCAGGTGCGTGGTCATGGTGGAAGAACCAGTCACCTGTTGGCCACATCTGGGGATATTTCTTCCACAAATTAGGACGCACCTTTCTTAAGACTTCCAGATAAAAACTGTGGTTGACCGTTTGATCCAGAGGAACAAATTCCGAGTGTACTTCAAGCACCCACCCTCCAAAGAATAATTCCGTTTTTGGGGGGGCACCCCTCATAAGAACTAAATCTTCCAGTTAAACATAAAGTGTAACTAGGCCGTTATAACTGGAAGACTAGAGGCCATGCTCTTATCACATAGACAAGAAGAGACAGCAATGTAGGGTCTATATGGGCCAATAGAATAAAATTGAAAATAACTAAGAAGTCATGGGAAAGCCTTTTTTTTTTTTTTTGCTATCTATTCCTGGATTATGTTGTTTTGTGGTACTAAAAAAATGTTCTGTGTAATTGATACTTGTTGAAATTTGATTATTTTTCCTTCAGGAAAGGGCTAGTTATATAAATAGTCTATTGCTCTTAGAAAGAATATGAACTCCTCAGATATTGAGGCAGTTCTTAGATATGTCTAATCTTGTTCAAATCATCTATATTCTTGTTGATTTTTCTGTTTTAGTTGACTTTTAAAAGATATTATTGAGAAAAGTATGCTTAAATGTCTCACTGTGGTTGTCATGGTTTTGTTTTTTCTTATAGTGATCTAGGATTTTGCTTTATGTAATTTAAAGATGCGTCTGAGGTGCAATACGATTGATGACTGCTATGTCTTCTTGGGGAATTGATCATTTCATCATTTTGATAATAGGGCTTTTTGTAATCCTGTTTTTAAAATTATCTTTGTCCTTTATTAACATAAGAAAATGACTTACTTTGCTTATTATTTTCACAGTAGATATTTTCCCAGGTTTTTGCTTTCAATTCTTCTGTTTACTTGTGCTTTAATTGTGTTTCTTATAAAAGACATGTACTTGGATATTTTCAAATACAGTCAGGCAATATTGTCTTCTGACTGGATAATTTCCTACTTGGTTTTAAGTCCACCATGTTATTCTGTGTTTTTACTTGCCCTGGCTTTTGTTTTTCTCTTCTTTAATGCCTTCTTTTGGATTGATTTTTCTCTGATCCACTTTTCATCTATAAGTTTTGAAAGTATGCACTATTCTTCTGTGCTTTTAGTGGTTACCCTCGGAATAACAGGCATCCTCAACTTATTGACATCTACAGCTAACGGATGTCTGTGGTTCCCTACTGACTTCGATGGTATTACAGTATATTTTCTTTTTTAACCCCAAATAATATCATAATTGTATCGTTTTATACAGAAGAATTTCCCATAGAACTCCCTGCACATTTGCCATTTGCTTTGCTTTGACTTCCTCCGTACCCTGGACATTCCTTCTGGGACCCTCTCTCTCCAATGTAGCACGTACTATAGAATGTCCCTGGGTGGGATCTTCTGAAGGCAAATGCTCTCAGTTCCTGTTTGCCTGATAAATGTCATTGCTACATATATTTGTGAAGTAAATCGCCACGAGGTAGAGACTGAGACAGGAAGTCAGGTTGACCCCGCACGTTGGGAATGCTGTCTACTCATTCCCCTCGCTGCTGCCAAGAGTCAGGCTGTGCTGCTCTGACCGTTTTCTGGCTTCTTTTCAGGTTTTCTTCTGGTCTTTGCACAGTTTTATTGGGAAGGATTTTCTTTGTGTTTGTTTTGCTTGTATTAGTGTAGTAGTTAAGGGCACAGACTCTGGAGCCAAACTGCCGAGGTTGAATCTCAGCCCTGCCACGTCTGCTTTTGTGATCTTAGTGGATTAGTTCACTTTTCTGTGTCAGCGCTCCCCTCGTCTATAAACACTAATCTCAGTAAGTATTAGCTGTCATTGTGAGAGATTACACAAGCTTATTGTGCTTTCAGAGTTTAACAACTTCAAGTTTACAACGTCATTGCAAACGCTATCTGAAAGCACCTTTTACCTTTGAGCCACAGTGTCTCCTGACAGATGCTTTAGCTCCCAGCACCCTACAACTGCAAGAGTGAGCCATGCCTGACCAGCAAGTTCAAGTGCAAATTAGAGGCAAATAGGCAAATAGGTTGCCTCTAAATGCGGTTTACAGATTTATGTCCCACGGATAACTGGTCTGAGTGGTTATTGTCTGTGTCTTTATTCCTGTCTGTATCCATACGTGTGAGTGGACACTGCAGGGTCTCTTTGAGGGTCAGAAGAAAGAGGGGAGGCAGCTCGCCATCGACCCCCGAACTGTTGGAGGTTGAACAGCTCTTCAGCATTTAGGATAGACGTGGAAGTGGGTCGAGCTTTCACATGGAGCAGTGCTGCCTCTATGGAGAGTCCTTCCGCCATGGAATTTCTCTAGGAAGAGCCTCGGGCTTTCCCCACAAAGCATTTGTCTGGGGGTTTACCCTGCGTAGCACTCCTCTTCTCTTGCCCTTCTCTTCTGCAGGAGTCTGTCCTTGTCCTCAAGCCACACATGCTGTGCTCACCAGCCGCACCCCAGCTAGCTTCTGCATTTCCCGACCCAACCTGCATCAAATCGCAAAGCCTCCCAGGCTGGCCTCTTCCCAAGACCCCTCTGTACACTAGCCCCGCGTTCTGCTGCCTCAGGCTGGAAACCTCCACTGACTCTTAGTCAGTTGCAGTTCTCTCTCCATTCAGATGAAGAGAAACCTTGGCACATTTAACACGGCCACCTGCATTTTGAAGTACTCTCCTTCCTACTCCCTGCCTGTCAGATCCTTGCTGGATGCTCCATATGCATTTACAGGAATGATTCTATAATCTCTTTTGGGGCATTTAGTGCAGTAGTTTTCAAATTGTGGTTCTAAGAATATTCGTAAACCAGGGAATCAATATAGTGGATCATGAAGAGCCTTTTTAAAAAAGAAACAAAAAATATTAGAATGCATCACATAAAGTAAGGAAAAATACTGCTTTTGAAACTTTCATTTCATGATGCAAAATTTCTTAGGTTGACCTTCAGCGTATATCAGAATGTATTAACCTGCAGGCAGGGAACTAACAGAAGGTTACATCTGTCAGAGGGAGCACGGAAATGGGAGGACGGCCCAGTGGGAAACAGGGTTTGCCTGAGCTGCTAGTTGAAAACATGAGGAAGAAAGTGTAAAGTTCGTTTCACAAGGTCACAGAACGTGGCACCCATATCAGTTATGAAAAAGGCAGGTCGGGGCAGGGTGATGCGAACTGTCCCTGTGATGCCATCAGAAAGCACAGCACACCAATGTCGAGGCGGCAAATGCCAGGACTGCGTCAGAGACTGCTACTGGAGCAACAGGGTTTTATCACCAACCGTCGTGTCTGACGACAAATGTGGATGCATGAGCTCATGTCAGGTGGGGATTAGGGGACAGTTACCCACTGAAAAGCTGTGAGTCATGCAGGCTGCTCGGGTGATTTTCTTAAGCCCCAGGAAAAGGGGCAGAAGACACAGTTTCCCCTGTCTTGGTGTGGGAGCACTTCTCCTTCGACGGTGAGCTCGTGTCTGTGCAGAGCGCCATGTCTGTGTGTACGAATGGGGTCCTGAGAAAGGCTGTGCCTGTGGCCCTGCAGCTCAGACCAAACATCAGGAAACGTGGACTCAGAGGAACTAAGTCGCACACTCAGGACTGCACCCTCCTAGGAGACGATGAGGAGATGTGCGTGAGGGCTTGAGTCCAGCGGTATATCTGAGCATCCGGGGTCAGGACCTCAGCGTGGAGTTTAGTGCTGAGTGACTGCCTGAAGACTGTGGGGCTCACAAGGCGACACCAAGAGGGAAGACTCAAGCGGCGCTTGCCAGCTCTGCCGCAGGGTGCTTCTACCAGCCCCATTCCCCAGAAGAGGAGACGGAGGCCCGGGTGGAGGGGCGACGGCGGGCAAGGCGTGGGGCCTGAGGCGCCCTGGCTGCAGGTTGGCATGACCAATCACGGTGCTGTCCTCCGTCCTCGGAGGCATTTCCAGCCTTTGGGCAGGGGGGTCAGGAACCCGGATGTCTGACTCGGAGCTCTGGAGCTTCTAGAACTGAAAGATCATTGCGTGACCAGGCAAGTTCACCTCACCGATCTGTCCACTTGGCCCGCTCAGCTGATTCCTCACCCTCGAGCAGTCAGGCCCGTGGGCTCGAGGGCTGAGGGTGGCCGCAGAGTGGAAATGCCGGCACTGGGGACTCCCCTGGGAAATGTTTGGATAACTAAGAGGCGAAACATCTCTGTGCTGTGACTCTTTAGAGGCCAGCACCTAATGTGGAAAAGTTTAACTTGGTAAGTATGGGAGGTCGAAATTATTCTGTCCTCATGGACAGAAGTGTCTTTAGTGGAATGTGGGGAACCCCAGTGTAAGCTGTTCATTGGAACTTTGTCACAAATGGGGCATCCTTTGAACAGTTTCAAAATCTTTAGGGACAAACCCGAAAGAGGCTGCCAGGGACTGCCCTTCTCACGAAGCTACAGTCAGTGGCTTTGAGATGCCTATGGAGGGTGGTTGACCTGCCACAGATATGCTCAGCTGCTCCAGGACGCAGCTGCAGCTGAAGACTTCATGGCCCAAGTCAGCCGGAGAGTTGCTTGAGGGTCTGTGGCCCCACCCACCTCATTGCCCGGATCGCTTCAGTGTCCAGTGTTCCCAGGAGGATCCAGCCCATTCGAGGGGCAGAATGTACTTCACATTATGCTTCTGACTTGAGGAGGCTCGAGGCCCACAACCCAGAGCTTGTAGGGAGGAGGGACGATAAGGAGCCAGTTGCTGACCCTCCTCTTGGCCTCTGATACCTGACTCGGAGGGGTCAGAATTGCTGCTAAGGATGTTGCATTGAGAGCAGCCGGACAGATAAAGGCACAGCTTTCCGAGCACAGGAGACTCAGCAGACAGGGCTGGTCGGGGCAGGAGGGCTGGTCAGGGCAGCTCTGGAAAGCAAGACTCCGCCTGGCAAGTGAAAGCACAGACCTGGCTGGCACAGCAGTGTTCCCGCAGGCAGGCTTACTCCGCGTCGGAGTCCAGCCACCTGTGAGCAGGCGCTGTGGCCCTCGCTCTTTTCAGGAAGGCTTTGTGTCCCAGAGCGCACCCTCCAGAGTCTGCTATCCGAACGCAGAGCCAGACTCTACTCCAGGCCCCCAAGCAGGCAGCCTTGCATTCAAGACAAAGCCCGTCCTCGCGGGATGCTGAAGGAAGGCCCGGGCTCCCGGAAACGGCCAGGCCGTCGTAAAAACAGAAGCCCGGCGTCGCCAGCCTAGCAGTCGGGAGTGCTGCCACCAGGGGTGAGGCGTGCCCGGGGCCTCCCTCCGAATTTCTGGACGGGCTAGAGCCTGCTCCTGCAGATGGGGCTCCACGTCTCCCAGCCTCCAGAGCCAGGGAAGACACAGGCTGGTACACGAGGCGGGGCTGGCCCCCAACGGTCCCGGCCCTTGCTGGCCAACGCGTGGCCAAGAGCCGGCAGCACCGGCTGCCCTGGAAACCTGTTAGAGATGCGGACTCCCAGCTGGCCCAGACCCTCCGAATCAGGACGGGTTTTGTCGGGCTGTTGCCGCGAGACACGAGCACCCTCCAAGGGCTCCTGACGTCGCTCGGCTACCCCCCCTCTCGCCCCATCCATCCGGGGCTTTTATGTCCTCGGAGAGATGCCTCTTCCATGTCTTTTGCGAGGAAGCAGAGAGAGAGGCTTGGGCCTGTCGGGGCGAGTTTCCATCTCCCGCCCCGAAGAGCACAAGAGCACAGACGCTAGACAGACCCGAGAAAGGACATGCATGGCTACTAATGTGCACAGGAAGATCTCAGGAGGGTGGGCACCCAGCCACCCGGGTGGTTCAGGGACCAAAACGCCCTGTTTAAAACGATTGGATCGCATTGTGTTTTTTATTATTTATGTGCTTGTTTTAAATGTTGTTGTGTTCAAGATGTGGGGGCACAGTCAGCTTTAGGTACACAAGTGGTCGTCGTACAGGTCACGTCTGGGTCCCCCTGTGGTCCCCACTTTGCCCGTTTTGAGATCTTGTGCCCTCGTCGACGTCACGTGCTCCCACTCGGCAGTCTCCCGCGACTCGAAATGCCCTTGTGAACGGGCAGAGGGCAGAAGGGCGCAGGCAGCTTTGAGGAGTAGCGAATGCTTCGCAGGGGATCCGAATGAACCTGAAGGACATTTGGCAGCCACAGACAAGCTCTGGGAGGGTGGGGTGGGAGAGACTTCCTGGGAACACAGGCTGTGTGTTGTGCAGATTCCTCTCCCAGGCAGTGCCCCTAGGCTGCCGGCGGGCAAGTGAGACGGCTGTCTGGGCGTGGTGACCACTTCTAGTCTCGCCTCTTCTCTGCTGTTAGTCTTTCCTGGTTATTTGATGAGGTTCCTTGGGAGAGGCTTCCAGACACTTGCACATCTTTTGGAGGAAGTTTTCTAGTCAGATAAGGACGTTTCTGAGGGAACCCCTCGCTGCGCTGGCTTGGAGAGTCCTTGGTTCTGTGGCAGCTGCTGGGGCCGTCCCAGTCCCTTTTCTTCAAAAGTGCCCAGGTGCCAGAGTGCCGTGCTTTGGGGTACTGTTCTCTGAGCCCCAGTATGCCTCGTTAGTCAGTTTTGACAGGCAGCTCTGGGCCTTGGCTTTCTTCTGTCTCATCTGAGGGATTGAGACCAGACGCGCTCTGAGGTCCTGCAGACCTGTGACTTAGTGCTGCATTGTGTGAGGCTAAGGCCCTTGGGGTCCACGCAGCAGGGGTTCAAGCAACCAGCCCTCAAGGGGGATTTCATCCTGGGGGATGGGAACTGCACGTGCACTGAATGCGTGGCCGGCAGGGAGCAAACAGCACACACGACCTCGCGGGTGGGCCATGCCCCAGGAAGGTACGTGCTGAGAACAACAGGACGCAGCGCTGGACACTCACCAGGTGCGGGGCTGGGACTTGCTGGGAGGCCTTCAGGACTGAAACAGGAACTGGACCGCGGGACAAAATGCCGCCCCTCAAACATAGCATGGCATTGTTGCCAAATGGTACTTACTTTTCTCTGACAACCTTTGCACTGTTCTTGTTTGCATCATTTCTCTTTAAAGTGACTCAAAACCAGCTCTGATCGTTCTCTCCTGACGGTGTTATGGGAGCCCGGGGTTGTGTGTTTGCAGTCCCACCGTCAGCCTTCCCACCCTTGTTTCCGTGCAGGTCCTGCTGCTGTATGCCTGCAACCAGAAGCCCCTGCGCATCGTGGACGTGGGACGCCCCGTGGGCGACAGCCTGCGCGTGGGCACCCTGTGGCTGTCGCTGTCCAGGCAAGTGCGCATCCACCCCCTGCCCGGGGCGCTGGACACACCGTCCTGTGGGGTGTGGGCCGGTGTGGCGGGCCCCTTGGGAGGACGCCCCTTCTGGGCAGAGGTGGATCTGTGGCCGCGGAGAGCTCCGGCCTGCGTGTCACCTGCTCCCCTTCAAATGCGGGGGGAGCACTTGCGTAACCTCAGTGCCTGTTTCCTCCTCGGGAAAATGGGAAGAAGAACAGTAATAGTGCCTAGGACTGCTGACAGAACAGCTCGTGACCCTTTGTGGAGGCCAAGAGAGCACAAGGATGTTGCCCACCCTCTTTTGCCTGTGGCTTTGACGTCATTTTTGTGGCTAAGATAACTCAGTTGTCTCCAGCGGGGTGGCTCCCGGCCCCCTTTCCTCTGGGCCCAGAGTCAAGGTCTCTGCCCCCCAGGCTGCCCTCCCCCCTCTCCGGCAAGCGGGCCGGGCTCTGGCATGTGTCCAGGCCCTCCACTGCACGTGGCCACGGTCCTTGCTCGTCTGTCTTTTCACCCCTTG